CTCGCTGGGTGCTCAGGGCGCCTGGAGAGGCCCCTGGGTTCTGGGAGTGGCCATGCCTTTGCCGGGTCCCTCTTGGGGTCGCAGCCAACGGAAGATGATCTTGGGGAAGGTAGGATTCTTCATGTTGCCTTTCTGGGCCTAACTGCCCATTGCGTCTCTGACCAAGCCAGAGTCCCACTTTTTGGTAGAGAATTAGGGGTGATTTTTTGCTATCTCTTTCTCCCAAGAGCCCTGTTTAGGTTGTCTCTTTCCCCTACCTAGGGGTCCCAGCCTGGTGGCTTGTGACCTAGAAGGTCAGGCTTAACCCCAAGGTGTCTTTCTCAGATGTCCCTACAATGAGGCTACTGTTTGCAGAGGGATCTCCCCTGCTCCCTCCGTGTGTGAAGGGAAAGACTCATCATGTTCTCACATATTCTCCAATGGGCTGCTGGCGATAGGGGGTCATTTTCCCCTGTAGCAGGAGCAGGTTGATCAATGGGAAGATGGTATCCTGGTATGAAGTGAGTCCCTGCATTTGCTGGGAGATCAGGAAGTGGCCATTGAGATCACTTCTTAACATGCTGGGGATAGAAGAAAAAATCATCTTGGGCTTGGCCAGGTAACTTTCACTGTTGGGGCTTTTGGTTTTCCTTTATGTGAGCTTGGCTAATTGCTCTTAGTATGCTTTAGCCTGTTTTAGTTGTTGTGTGTGTGTTTTAAATCATGCTGGATTGTGCAGTTTTGGTAGAAACAGAAGTTATTATTCTCTAATCTGGTTTCTGTGTCATAAGTACCCCTGGTCTTCAGGCCCCATTAAGACTGACTTGGTGGGAATTGCCTTTAACAAATGTATACATTTTTGTTAGGGTTTTGGGGGTGGAGTAGGCACAAGCTATGTAAAACCTTCCAGAATTTTTGCAGTAACTGGTGGTGTTATAATTCTCAAGACTGAAATATTAGAGGATAAAGCAAGTGACATAAAAAATGTAAGTCTTGATGACTTTTGCATCTTTTGTGGAGTCCCAGTGCAATTTCTTGAATTCCACGTGCTTGTTTGACTTGGGGAGAATTTGAGAGTGGCTGAGATGTTAGCGTTGACCCTTAATGCCACCTAGGAGAGCTTTGGGATCAGAAGGTGCTTTCACAAGTGTTCATGATGTTGTAGATTCGGTGGGGCAGCAACTTCAGGGGTTGCATTGTGTGTAAGGCTCTAATCTAGAGGGTTGCTAGGAGTAGGGGAGGAAAAGGGACTAGACAGAATCTGGAGGAGGGAACAAATCTCAGCTTCATGTATCCTGGTGCTTGTGGGAACATTACATTCATATGAGCTAATGGCTGTTACATGGCATAGAATTCACATTTCATGTGGCTTGTTTTGGATGACTCTAGTGATAGGTGTGCATAGAGTCCTACTAAGTAAGTGTGATGGATGGAATTGGGAAATTGTCTCTTTGAATATGAGTGATGAGGAGAGTCCCTCCTTTAAATGCTGCCATTGTTAGTGTTTGTGAACATTGTTAATAACCATTTGATTAGAGCGTGACTTAGAGCAAACCGAGTATAGAAACTCAGAACCATGGTGGAATAGGTTGCTAGTGGAGAAGGTGCAACAGTATGGCCAGGCTGTAGTTTTCTTTTGACCTGGGTCCAGGTAAGAGTGAGGTGGCTCCAACAAGGCATTGCTGCCATACAGCTGCTCTTCTCTGCCTTACCCAATTATGAACTCCACTTCTGGATAGTTAGTTGACACATATTTAAGATGTTCATGGGAAAAAAAATGGGGACAGAGTTGAAGAGCCAACACTAAAATTAAACGTCTTTTGAGAGAAGCAACACAGAATTGTGTCATGTAATGCTTACCTTTATGGGCAGTTATGGTTAACAAACAGCATTTGCTTGAAAAATCAATGTAGGGCAGTGACCTAATATCTGCAAGTATCTGAAAAATTAGGGAAGTAACAAAGTAACATTTACTGACCGCCTCCTTGACAAAGGAGCTCTTAAGAGGAAAGTTGTTTCTTTGCTCTAAATTCTAGCCTCTGGAGTATTTGAATTTCTATAGCATCAACTCAGTACTGAAGTAATTCTTCTACACTCGTTTTCAGATACACTAACAGTTTTTCGTAACAGTCAAGCCTTACTCTTCTCCTGGTGTGTCAGCCCAGAGTATTGACGATCTCTCAGTGCAGTGTGCACATTTGTTACAGCTTAATCTTGCTTCATTAGAGATGAAGTTGAGGGCAGTGCCTTTTCCTGCCCAGAAATCAGAGTTAGTCCACCCCAGCAGTCTCTTTAGCAGGTGATTAGGTTCCCACTTTTGTTTCACAAAAGTTCAGACTTTGTCTTCCTGACCAGAATGAAAGTTTTGTGAGCATGGTTTGTTTCTTATCTTCTCTCTCTAGAGCAGAAGCATTAGGATGTACCTTCTAAATGCTGGTTAAACTGACTACTAACCCCTAGGACTTATGACTGAGGAGCTGCATTTGAGCCATCTTTTACAGAAAAGCCCTTGTGACTGCTATAGGCCCAGGGGATCAGTATGATATATTCCAGGGGTCCTCAAACTACGGCCCGCGGGCCACATGCGGCCCGCCGGGTGTTGCCGGGTGTTTTTGTCACCGCTGTGCGCATAGGAATTTGTTCATAGTTTTTTTTTAAACTATAGTCTGGCCCTCCAACGGTCTGAGGGACAGTGAACTAGCCCCCTGTTTTAAAAGTTTGAGGACCCCTGGTATATTCTAATGCAGAACTCTGTAGAGCTGTAGGAACATGAATGTTTATCTGGCATCTGAGTAAAGGTCTGACTGAGATGGTGAGCGGATACTGAAGCCCCATGACAAGTTGAATAAGCACAAGGCAGGCCTTGCTCAAGGCAGGTGACTATCCCTATATTCAGAGCAGGGAGAGGCTAGAGGAGGCACTGAGGGGAAGAGGGACTTGAACTGGCCCTGGACGCTAGTGTAAATGCCTGCCAGCAGTAAGGCTCTTCAGTAGGAAACTTCAGGCATAACTTTCTTCTTCACAGTTCTGCAAACATTAGGTTCCAACAGGAGGTGACCAAGGGGTCTCTGCAGAGAGACACACTCAAGAAGGGTAATTTTCCCACCTAGGAATTTGAAGGTTAAGATGCTGCTTAGTTTTCCTGGGCTGCAAAGTGGAACTGGGGACCGGAGTATGTGCCCCAAAAGCTCCTTCCCGATCCAGGGTTCAGGTTATGGAAAGGGCAGCCGAGGCTAACATGAATTGTCTTAAAAGTTTTTTAATGCAATGTGCATTGTGTGAACTTTCTAAAATAACAAAGTTTTACACAGATATGCACACTTCACAGGACTTTGTATAGCATTTTTTTATATATATATTTTGATTTTTTACAGAGAGGAAGGGAGAGAGATAGTTAGAAACATCGATGGGAGAGAAACATCGATCTGCCGCCTCCTGCGCATCTCCTACTGGGGATGTGCCCATAACCCAGGTACATGCCCTTGCCCGGAATCGAACCTGGGACCTTTCAGTCTGCAGGCCGACGCTCTATCCAGAGAGCCAAACCGGTCAGGGCTGTACAGCATTTTAATAGCATCTTCTACTTCACCAACCCTGTAAGGAAGGTGAGTTGAGCCACCTCTCTCTCATTTCTGCACAGTGACGGTATACGCTGCTTAGTGAGTGTCTCCTGTGTCCAGGAGAGGACAAGATGCTTTTGTTACTTACTGACTTCATGTGAGGTGACAGCCCCAGAACCCAAAGTTACTAAGTGATGTACCTCCAACTCTAAATACTACCATGCTGCTTTCAAAGATGGATAGAGGGCTCTGAAATGAGGCCCAAGAGGGCAGTGCCCTCGAGCTGATAAGACAAGACGTGGGAGCCTCTTCTCTCTCACATAAGTTTATATGTGACTCCAGTAGTTGGGTTAGATTTACCTGTGCCAGATCTAACAGGTTGACAATATTAGGCAGCCTGCCCCAGAAACATCTTAAGGTTACTATTAGGGACAGAGTCCTGGGCCAGACCACACTGTGGTGTGGCAGCTGCCAGCTGACGTGGAACTTTTCATGAGTCTTGTTTTCTGCTTCCAGGTTACAGCAGTTTTGATATTAACTTAAAATGCCATTGATTTCTGCAGAAAAGAGGACTCTTGTAAAATGGAAGACTGCTTGTTCTGATTCTCTCCAATATATTAGAGCATATGAAATCTAAGTATGTCACTGCCTGATCACACTGTTTCCCAAATTCAGCGACGTTCCTGTCTTTGCTCTTTATACTGTAGCCAGGATCTATGGGGAGAACAGTGTGGTGTGTTATGACTGTGGGAAATAGACAGGTAACAAGTGTCCGTTATGAAGCAGGTGTGTGTCCTTGTTGTGACACTCCCTCAGAAGAAGGTGGACTTTACCTTACATCTTCTTCATGGAGGTCTCTGGGTGGTTCTCAGAGGTGGCTTTAATTGGACTATGTTGTCCTTTTTTTAAAAAAAAAACTATGTTTTTATTGATTTTTAGAGAGAGAGGAATAGAGAGATAGAAACATCGATTGGCTGCTTCCTGCATGCCCCCTGGGTATCAAGCCCAAAACCTGGGCATGTGTCCTGCGGGAGTATGTTGCAAAGGCCTGGATAACTGTCCAGGATCAGCCTGTGGGAAGTGGTTTTTGTCCTGGTAACAGTTTTTAAAAGGCACCATGGTCAGCTGGGCTTCTGGGCTCAGGACACAGATGTGTGTGGCAGGACACACACCTCGGGGTTAGGTGTAGGAGGGTAGCTGTGCTCGCCTATGGCTTGATTTTTGTGTCTTTGTGGGCATCTTAGATGGAATTCTAGTTTAACCAGAACCAGGCCCCAGGCTGATCTCTATGTGATTGCAGTCCAGTAGGTGGGTCTCCTGCCCAGCCCCTCACTGCAAATTGTCTTCTGGAAGCTGGGGAAGCTGCCTCTGTTGTGCTTTTTCTTTTTAATCCTGGTGGTGGGCTGTCCCCCAGGGGCCCACTAGCTGGTTGTCAGAATGGGTGACTGAGATTGTGGCTCAGCAGGTGGCAGTGTAGGCAGTGTATTTTCACTTCAGCCCCAGAATGCCCATGCTCAGAGCCCCCTTCTATAACAGCTTCTTTTCACTCTTGAGGTACAGGTGTGGAATGGAGCAAAATTGACTTAGGGATTCCATGAACTGGGGAGCATTTCCTGCATAAGGAAGGCCTACCGGTGTTGTGCATGCTGTTTAAAAGTGCTCTTTGAATGAATTCCAGGTCTTTGGGGCCAATATACTTAACATCCCAATCACCAACTGGTATACTGTTTATGGAGACATATGGTAAAACTGGAAATGGTAGCTCAGCCATTGAATAAACATTTCTAGCAAGAGCTTATGTGCTGGGTACAAAGGGTGCAGACCTGGACCTTCCTGGCCCTTAGATTCCAGGGACCTGAAGCCTCCATTGTAAGGAGAAGGGCAGGCATAGTGTGTGCACATGGACTATTTGGGGTGGGAGTGGGGATCTGGGTTGAGGTGGCCTTAAAAGGCTTATAGTTCTGTCTTGTTCAAAGATTGTTCAGAATTCTTAAGAGCGTGAGAAATGGCTTTCTAGAGTACTTCATCATTTTGAGTTTTCAGAATGAAAAGTTTTACA